TATATATATATATATATACATTCTCTTAACAATAAAAATTACCAAAAAGATAACTGCATTTTAGTTTGTCATAAATTTTCCCTCTTCTTTCGCTTTCATCGTGCGTAATAACTTCACCGCAGTATTCAGAAATAAACTCGTTTTTTGCGATATCCTCTTCAGCAAAACAACCCCACCCAGCAACCTGAAGTCAACACTGCTATGCGCTTTGAACTTTCTTTTTTTAATGATTATTTAACACTTAGTGGAAGACATAACTCTACAACAAACCTGGGAGGTACCAATGCTAAGCTTTTTCTGAAATCCCCTTTGAATGGAAACATTTTTGCACATTAACGCTTCAGGTTCTTCCAGATTATCTGAATTATAGTTGTAAAACCAAAAGTTATACTCTAGTGGTTACGTAAACAGCAAAGACTGAAATGTCATTACCACATCTACACGACTTGCAGAGATCCGGGTCGCATTCCCAACTGGCATAAAAGCATTGACACTGCTTTGTGCAACAAAGTCCTGGAGCACAACGACAGCCAGGGAAGCGATGAACGCAGGTTTCTGGACATGCACAATGTCTAAATGGTGTAATTTACTCTGTTAAAAAAAGCCTGAAATTATCTACATTACTAAAAAAAAAGAAAAAAAGCACTTTGAATATTTAGATTAACAAGGATATATACTTCGTGCAGAGATTGTCAACACGAACGCAAGAACATCCATTTTCTACTGTACACTTCCCAAGATGGTGGCATGGTTCATAAACATGAGAATTCCTGACCTTTCCCTCAGTACGTGCCCACTTGACAGACCGAAATAAGCGATGCTTATCCCTCATGTTCCTTGAAAGCATCAATTCTATTTACCTGCTGTCTTTTTACACCTCCTTTCTTTTTACAAACAAAATCATTACCTTTAATCTTCGGAGACAAATTAGACAGTAAAAAATTATTCAGTAAACTTACTTTTTCTTTTTAGATTTATGCCTAGGGACAACATCAACACGCGGTGAGACAGGAGCCATTTGTAGCAGATAAGAATAAATCTAAAGAAATTTATAAATCTTACTACAAAATCCTATCCTGTTAGCTCGCTAAAACAACTACCCATATGCCAATAAAACGAGAAGTTCCAAAAAAACCAATACGACCACTTCTGCAAACCTCTGAACACGAAAGTACCAAAAAACGGAACATATGAAGAATGACTAGATGTTACGACTAGTGAGCTTTTACGACACTCACTCTCGTTCACTTTACCCAATTATTCCAACAATCATTCTTCAAAGAGTACAAAGCCTGTTTCCCATCAGAAACCATTTCGAAAACCGCAAAAAAATAAAAAAACAATTCAATTTACTTCTAAACAAGTTTTGCTCGCTAGTTCTCCAACAGTAGCATTAAATGCTTTAGCAATCTTGCAGTAATCATTCTTGAAGGTCGAACGCAATGCGAGCAATATATCGGTATTGAGAGGGTTCAATGAACTCTCCCCAGTCGACAGTTGCGTTTTAGACCCCTTGACACTACTTTCATTCCCGTTCACAACCTGCGTTTTAGAGCTCTTGGCACTACTTTCGTTCCCGTTCACCGTCTCTTTTCCAGAAGTCTGAAAACTTATTTACAATCAAATAGATCATCCAGAAAGATGAAAAAAGAAAACACTTTAATCGTACTATAAAAACGAGATCAGTGACGTACTATAAATGTACTGCCTACCAATTAAAACTAACCGGCGGGGGTAAAGAATGCTTGTAACAATCAGGCCCACAGGGCTCAATAGTAACAGAATTAGGTAAGTCCTTCTTTTGAACTTGGCCATCAGTTTGACTTATACCTAAAACCATCAGCAGAATGAGATACAACTAACGATATGGGACCAAAACCTTCAACCACAGCATGTTCCTTGTCCTAATGATACTCATGCAGTAAAACTTGTCCTCAATAAATTAACAAGTTCGTAAGCGTTGTAATTTACGTTGTAACCAGCCGCGTTTAAAAGAAAAAAAAAACACATAAAACCTGGCAGACAGTTACTCATTTTCTCCAAAACAAAATGATACTTTAACGGGGGAAAGGGAATACCGGGAAGAGACAAACGGGTCATTCTTAAACAAAATTATCTAATACCCACTGTTCAAAACAATAACTTTCAAGTTGAAAATTTATATAAGACGCAGTAAATGAATAACTAAGAAGTATTTTAAAAAAAACTACTCCAAGGTCCATATAAAAATACTGCTAGCAAAACCTTATCCTCTAAAATTTTGCTTCTTCTTGAATGTTACTGAATGTGGTACAAGCGAGAAACAAATAAACAAGTTCCGAAGAGGAAATAAGAACGCGTGAATTCTCGCTTATTAAAATGAAGAAGAAATAGATAAATAAAACTTGACCAGAAAACTTACTACAATTGAAGTTAGATTTCAAAAATTACCTATATTTTACAAAGTGGGCGATAGTGTTAGTAATTGCCTCTAGCATCAAAAGTTTAAACTATACCGTGAAGGAGACAATCGTAAGCAAAGCAACGACCACAAGATAAAAGCTGGAAAGAGCTGTACGATGGACGCTCCTCACCGCTTTGAGTTTTTTGACAGTTGTCTCGCGAACCGGAACCATATATTGTAAGCGAGGGTAGCTCATTAAACCTTAAAATATAGCAAATATTCCCAAATAATTTATATCACAAAAAGACAAAAAGAATTAGTTTGGAAAGGACTTACAAAGAAAGCAACTGCGGAACGGTCGCCTTATTAGGGAATTGAGCATTGATCCCTCTGCATACCTTTCTTACCTCTTCTAAAACAACGGCAATTATTCTCCGCTCATTATTAAACTCATCACTCTTTTACTGCACCAACCTTTTGATTAGACTACTCAAAATGAGAAACTCTACAGAAAAGTCTCAGCTGCTGTATTTATGTCATAATCCCAATCTAAATATAAATGTACTTTTAAAGCATCTATTTTCCTAAGTGTACTTAAAAAAATGTCCCTAACGTATTCATGTGCTCTAAGAGTCAGTCAGAAGAGTACCAAAAGAAAGTGTTGACGAGGTTAACCTTTCAAAAGTGAACACATTTTCAGCAAAATGCCGCTTTAAAAAGAACCGGAATGCTCCGGCTACTCAGTTGTAAAAAAACACCTTTCAATCAGAGAAAATTAACTCTTTATTCTTAAATACCAAACCTAATTTCACAATTTTCTAGCAAATAACTTCATTTCGTATGGTCGATACGACAATTCCAACACTAAATCAAACGTACTCATGCACATTAGCTTTTTTAACAGCGACCTATTTGGAGGGTAGTGAAACTAGACCAAGAGCACCATTAAAACAAAGTACCAAAAAATCCTGTTTAACTTAATTTAACTTAACTTTTGTCTCAACAGCTACACTGCATACTACTAATTAGTGATGTAAAAAACATACTAACCATCATCAAAATGATAATTCGGTTACATTTTTAGTTTAACTACGTTCCAATCAACTGAATATTCACAAAAGTTGTACAGTACGAAGACTATGCTCTATGCCTCCGCTCCGATATCCCAATTACTTTGTATCATTCAGACTCCGATGTTTCCCATAATTACCTTTTTCTCCAAATTCTCTCCACAAGTGAAGCACAAACATTAATTACCAAAGTTTCTTGCATTCTGCTTCAGTTCCACCATTCCCACCGAAACCTGCTCAGCCCACATTGAAAAAACTCTCTTTGCTTTCTTAAACAACTTGGGATTGCAACAAAACCTTTTAGCAGGATAGAACTTTTTTTTTTCAGAATCTTCTTTAACCAACTGCCTAGGAAACAAGAATTCCGAGTTAACAGCTGAGATTTACTAAAAAAGCATTCTACTTCAAAAAAGAGACGAGACGACCAAAAATAAATCTAAGCACAAGCAAACTTCTCATAAAATTGAACGCAAAATCTATAAACATTTTAAAACAAACCTTCAGATTTGTACTTTTTTGACAGCTTCATGAGCATTGTATGCAAAATATAATCATTGATGAACAGACCACAACCTTTCCTCGTACCATGAATCCCCTAAAAGAAAATAAACTAGTTTGACACTTAAATTTTCTCGGTTGAGGTTAACAATATCTCTTTTAAAAAACAACGGCTATAAGAATACTACTAATCCTTTGAAAATACACGAGTATAGAACCTCAGGAAATGTATTTTGCAACTCTTCACCGAATTCTCCATCTTCTTCGTCCGCAAGGAAAGGGATGTGTGACAAAGTATGCTCGTCATCACACTGAAATCTTCTTGTTTAAAACAACAAAAGATGTGCTGATACGGTAAAATCAATTACTTTGCAATTTTCCGTTTATACTTACTCGGATAAACGCGTCAACCTACAAGTTCAGGATGCAATAATACTCAAAGAAATGAACGTTAAATAGCTGGACTTTCATTTTCCAATTAAAACCTTTAGAGATCCAATTGAATGGTAAATTCAGGGATATATACCTAAGCTGACCTTCCGTTCCATTTTTCCTTACAAGTTATTTTATTTTACATCCAAACCTCTGCTTCTAAAAACTACCAATTTTCTTACTTGTCGCTAATTCTTCCCATGCTATAAAAGAAATGAAAATAAAACGAAAGACAATTATACACCAATAAATTAAGAAGGCATTGCTTTGTTTCGATAAAAAGATCACCAATAATCACTGAGCATTTAACTTTACAACCAAGCAATAGTGAATAAGTTCAAAGACTAATAGATATCCCCTGCCCAGTGATTATATCGGTGCTGAACGTACTGCTTTAAATACTTTGATTGCATACTGAAAAGTTCTTTAGGTGACACAGCCCTGTTGCTTCTTATCATACTTTACTTAAATGCAAGTCCAATGAAACAAAAGTTAGCGAAGCAAAACCTTACAGTTATATTACTTTCGGTAACTGTCCAATATCGCATCCTTGGCTTTTCCGCAATATAGTCAATTGTACGACAAGGACATTTTTGCAATGTCCCTTCAAAAACAGGCCTGATAATAAAGTGAGTTGGTTGGTCAACATTCTCTGCAGCTTCAATAACAAGTTTAGACATTGGCTTCGCCAGTGATCCCTAAAACATTCAGCCTTTTTCAAAAACTTTAAGCAAAATTCTCCGTGAAGAAAAATGATTCAAAACAGTTGATCACCTTATACACTTCCTTCTTGTCCTCACGCATTGAAATAAAAAGTTCCTAAAACAGAAATAATTGTTAATGAATAAAAACAGAAGATATAACAAGCAGTCAAAGAAGATAATAATAATAAAGCTAAAAATTTTCAGTGTAGAACCGAAATTATGCTTAGCGGTGAAGACAGCACGCGAAAAAATCTATTCCGACAACAACAAAAGCGGAAAAAGAATTCTGTTAGAAAATGAAGCTAAAAAATACCTCACTCTCCTTGATAATTGTTTTTTCATAAGTTGCAACTACATCACGATAGCAACTATCAACATCTTCAATAACAGAACTTTCAACATCCGTTTCATTTGTAGCGTTTAAATAATCGTCTTCGTCAACAGTAGAATTGCTTTTTTCAGATGCATGACTGTTGCTTCCTGCATCCACGTCATCTTTTTCAGTGCCATTCAACGACTGCAACCAAATAAAAAAGCTACAAGGCGACAAAAAATGAGGACAAAAAAGAACTTACAATACTTCTAGACGAGCACCTCCGTTTGCTCGGTGGCTGAGCTTTCCACCTTCGGCCCCTCTTAGGCATTTGAGCTCCCAAAAAACAAAAACACTCCGGAAAGATGGAGAACTAAAGTGGAAACTTCAGTCTCTCCTTCTACAAACAGCATTTATGACAGGAAAGTAACAACAAAAAAAGTAAAAGGACAAAAGATATGTTTGCCGTGAAAACCCAGTACGATTAAAATAAGCGGAGCAAAATAAATGTCTTTTTTATCTAT